ATCTTTATCATCAATAGATCGTAAGACAATCAATAATGATATTCCCAACCTAAATAAAATTATAAATCAAATGGACCTAACATATCTACAAAATATTTCACCCTGAAACAGCTTATGGAAATTTTTCCAAAATTTTAGGTTACAATGTAAATTTTAGCAATGTAAAACAATTGGCATATCCCATGTATCCTATCAGATCATAATGGAATTAAACTAGAAATCAACTGCAATAAAAATAATAAAAACCATATAAACACATGGAGATTGAACAATACTCTTTTAAATTAAGAATAGATTAAAGAAAAAATGAAAGTAGACTTCAAATTCTTAGAGACAAACAGGAATACAGGTATAAGATATCAAAATCTCTGGTACAGTATGAAACTTGTTCTAAGAGGAAATTTTATAGCATTGAGTGCCTACATTAAAAAATAGATCCAGTAAGCCTATGCTGCACCTCAAGGCTTTATAAAAAGAACAAACTAATTCTAAAATTAATAGAATACAGGAAATAAAATAAGAGCTAAAATTAAATGAAATTGAGAATAAAAAATACACAGGACCAATTAATGAAGAGTTTATTCTTTGAAAAGTCAAATAAGATCAATAAATCCTTAGACAGACTAATGAAAAGAATGAGCGAGAAGACCTAAATCAACAAAATTAGAGATAAAAAATGAAATATCACCACAGACACTTCTGAAATACAGAAGCTCATTAAAAACCACTCCACCAAACTGGAAGATCTAGAATATGTTGACAAATTCCTAGACACACATGGCCCACTTAAATCAAATCAGGAAGATATAGAAACCTAAACAGGAAAATGTTAAGGAATAAATTAAAACAGCAATTAAAAGCCTTCCATCAAGAAAAGCCCAGGACCAGGTTGATTCTTGTTTGAGTTCTACCAGACATTTAAAGAAGAATTAAAACCAGTCTTTCTTAAATTATTCCATGAAATTTAAAGTGAGGGGAACATTTCTAAATTCATTCTTTGAAACCAGTACAACCCCGATATCAAAACCAGGCAAAGACACATCAAGGAAAGAAAACTTCAGGCCAATATCCTTCATGAACATAGATGCAAAAATCCTTAATAAAATATTATCAAACTGTATTCAAAAAGACATCAGAAGACAGTACACGACAATCAAGCCAGTTTCATCCCAGGGATGCAAGGTTGATTTGACATATGCAAATCAATAAATATAATTCACCACTTGAACATAATTAAGGACAAGAATCACAGGATCATCTCAGTAGATGCAAAAAAGACCTTTGATAAAATCCAGCACTCATTCATGTTGAAAATACTACAGAAGATAGGGATGGAAGAAACTTTCTTCAACATCATAA